TTCGTACTTATGTGTGGGAAAAATCTTTTAATTGTTACCATAAACTAATTGTAAGCATATAATTGATTTCTGTTTCGAAATGCTGTGATCGGTTAAACTAAATTAGTCTAATAAAACCTTGACTAGTCCACAACTCGTACCCGTCCCATGTTCCACCAACATCGTTTAGATGGAGTCGTGAACCCCTCAGCTAAAGCATTTTCCTCACAAATTATTCGGCGTTGGATCTTTTATCATCATCGGGGTGAAAGTTTGTGTCCCATCGCTTTCAACTGGACAAAGAGAATGTGCAACGATGAGCGGGTTGGTGTGTTCATTAATTTAGACGAGCAGAGAGTTCCGATTGTGTGCACACTCACGGTATTGGATGGTACGATGAATGTGTGGGAATGATCGGAATGAGCTGAAAAAGCGTGTAAAAACGACGAAACAGAAATCAAAATGCTATGTATTTCAGGTGCATAGCAACTATTACTCTATTTTTGAAATACATCAATTCCACACACACACATTCAAAAATATTCGACTTACAAAAACAAACGCATCTCTGTTTTACCTCTCCATTTCCTTGATGTTGGCCACAGGAGTCGAAACGTTTGAAAAGTGAAACACGGGTAAGGGCGTCATAAAAAAACTTTGTAAATTAAATCACTGGTCATTCCTATGAAGAAATCATTACCGTGGTTTAAGGTTAAAAAATAAAAACTGTTATTTACGGCTGGCTACAAGATTCATGAACATTCAGCAATTTCGAATCGCCAAGCCAAAAACTGCTACCGGTGCAAGGTGGTGATGGAAAGAGCTAGTTGAAAACTTTATTAAAGCAATCCAAACTCTTTGTGTATCGTGGAACAATACATTGATATAATATATATATGTATATATTTATATATGTATAAATTTTTATCGTTTCAATAAATATTCAACGATATGTTACAATAATAATAAGCACAGCTCATTTCAAAAACAAAACAAAACAAAAAAACGGGAAAATCAGAACTGAGTTCAAAACGGACATCTTCCTAGTACAACAATATCCATCAGACAAACCCGAAATACATAACGTTACTGTGATCAAACAAAACACGCGCTTTCTAAGTTACACGACTGAATTTCAGTACAGTTTCTCTGTATACTGAGAAATTGACAAACAAATAACGTCAATTATCTAATTGAACGTATCAAATGAAAACAAAATGAACATAATGACGAGAGAATACTACGATGATGAAAAACGACAAACTGTGGTTAGCATCGTTATAAAAATAATCAAAATTTATGACCTTTCAAAGACTATCGAACAATTGGTTTGTAGGGTAAAGGTTGGTGAAATAAGGATCAAGCCTTAAAATACAGAATGAATATTTTTAGACAACCTTCGAACATATATCAACGATGATACATACTAAAGTGGTAGTAATATAACGAATCCCATATCGAGTACATTAACTGACTTGAAGCAATCTGCAGAAATGTTTTTGTATGAAACATTCGCGCTTTGGAGGGATCATACAAAAAACAAACAAATAACGCAATGGAAGATTGAATAGCGTGATCAACTTTCATCAAATTCAGAGCGATCATTTCCAGAGTGGCATTGAGGAGAGAGTTTGATCAAATGCCCGACCGAAACATCTGATGATTAACGTGCTTGATGAGATTCAGCAGGTTATTGCATTTTCCACACTCCTGTGGAGATTGAAACATGAATGAGCAATGATATTCAATATATCGTCAATATGCAAAACACTGTAATATAAAATTTATGTTTCAAAGGATAATGAAGAGAACGACAATGAATAAGATAATTTCAATATGAAGTTATCCATCGAAAATTCTAATTTCAACCTTCACTTTCTTGTGACAACACAGGAACATCAAGCGGGATCCACCATCAGTGGGTTACAGAAAGAGAAAAACACTAACATGATTCGGACTGATTCAAGTTGAGCTTGGGATTAGTTTTATAGGCTCAGGCATTCTCAATCTGATCAGTTAGTCACCTCTCTCAAGCACCAGGTACTTCCCCACTCAACAGTAATCGACACTGTTCCAACCTAGCTATCAACACCTTGAAACAAACCCTTTAATGCAGCGTTTGTTTTTTTTTNACAAAGCCAGATATTTCAATCATTTGGAGCAAACGACAGTAAATAACGTAGTTGTTTGTTAAACTAAACCTCGAGGTCAAACTTAGGCGAATTTGATCAGCTTTAGAGTTCAATAAGTAGCATCAAATGATGACGATTCATACAAAGCGAACGGAAATTACGAGATAATTTCAACAATGACAGCAACGACGTCAGATCAACAACCGATGCGAAAAATTCAAAAAATGCAAAGACCTAACGCACAAATCAGCACAATTTTCGTTCATTATCACAAGGTGTTCAGCATTCAGATTCAATAAAGTCTTTCGACACGTAAAATTCGCTCGACTTTTCTCGTTTCATCGAACCCTCTTGAGAGGTTCACCACAAGAAGTCTTCTCCGAACGCAACAATCAACAATGATCTGATGTCGAACTGTGTGAACATCAACAACGATAAATTCAACGATAGCAATCTTATATCCTTCACCACAGTACAAATCAACCGTTAGCTCAATTTACTCGATAGAATGATATCAATGGGATGCGAACGAAATAGCTAAAATCTTTATTATTACATGTTGAGAGGCAACTCCGTGACTTGACTAAATGTNTTGCCAACGCAAAACTAAATGCTAATCTCCTGAAAATTAAATCACTTCTTCAAACTGAATAATCCTTCGGTCGTGTAACCACACATTTCACTGCGAGATGATGCGCTGAAGGAAAAACTCTCCACTTAGATGTGACAAAAAAATTCGACGATAAGATGGACATTTTTTGATGGATAGTTCGAAATCTAGTCCATTCCTTCAACAAATTTAACAGATGAAAAGCAATAAACCAGTACAGAAACAGTTCTGGTGAGTGACTACAACTTCTTAAGTTTCTTCTCGAATAACACCGGCAACAATTATAACAACGATCGTAATAATCATAACGATATCAAAAAGCAGTAAGTAAATGAACGAAAATCATGCATTCAGAGGTACGTTATTGTTGTCAAAATGATCGCCGATATTGCTACCAGTGTCCATGACGATATCAGTGTTAGGATCCACAACGGGAGTGGGATAAGCAGCAGCAGCAACAGCAGTTCCTTGCGCTGAATTCATATTTAACGAAGCCGATGCGGACTGTCTAATAGACACATCTGGCTGCTGCTGCTGCTGAGTGAAGTTGCTGTTAGTCAGGATACTGTTCAGATTACTATTATTATTATTATTAATGTTAATGTTGTTGTTATTGTTGTTATTCGCAACATTATATTGCGATTGATTCGACTGCTGTTGTTGCTGTTGCTGTTGTTGTTGTTGTTGCAACAATAACGCATTCTGCAGCTCAATGATTTTTTGTGTCAGTAAATCAACCTGTGCGATGAATTGGTCTTGAGTCCGATGCATCTCCCATAACGTTTCGTGCATTTCGTTGTGTAACTGCAAAACAGTGACACTACGACCACTATCCACATTGATATGAATGGGAAAAAGTGAAAATATGGAAAATTATTGCATTCCCAGATCGCTTTAGTTCCGGAAGGATAAAGTTTCTATCCAAAGAGGATAAAATTTCATGCCGATATTAGCGGTTTTGAGAGAAGAATATGAAAGCGTGTGAACTCGTTGTTACCAAATTATTAGGACACTAAAATCTTCTTCACTAGCGATTAGCGCTTAACAATGAAAACAACGAAATATTTGATACTACGGATGGATGATGATCTGCAATGAGTTGGGAAGGTCAATTTATAAGTGAAAAAGCGGCGAATCACCTTGCCGACGTCGAGCAGCGAATTTCCTTTCTCTTGAAGCTTACGCTGATCCCACTTAATTCGTCTAAACTCGTTGATTGCATGCAAAAAACGTCGTTGATGCTGTCTTAATCTCAAGTCATCACCTTTTGTACATGAGGTTTTGTATTTATGAATGAACCTGCAATTGTCATTATTGGTTAACACACGTTTTCAATTATCAATAAAATTGATTTTTTTTTCAGTTCGACTAATTCACTAACGATGAGCTGGAAATTTGAGTCTCAGATATGTGTTTTGAACGCTTGCAACTTCATCAATGAATATGCCAATCCCATGCTTTCAGAGTGATCAGAACTAGTGTGTTGAGAGGAACGATGACTTTTGGGTTGTCGCTCCCGACATTTTTATGTGCGATCTAATTGTCAGGATACTCGGCTGTAAATTTCGACTCCTTTCTTGTGGTCGAACTTCGCCATTAGTCAATGACAAAGTTCGATTACGATAAGTATTCGACCAGAATAAGAGTTCCTCTGCGACAGATTCAGTTACCATGTCTCTTGCAGCACAGATGCTGCGGCATTTTTGCGTTGATTTGTCAGCTTCGAATCAGCCATAAAGTTGTTGACATGCTTTTCGGCGCGACTCAATTCCAGTTTTCGAGATATCACCGCAATCAACGCCGATGAAACTCCGGCACCCTAAAAGTTGCACGATTTTCTAAAAGTTTTGCTTTCATATCCGTAGCAAACGAGGTAATCACAAACGAAAGATTCAGTGAAATGGCTCACCACGATGCCAGTAGTTATCGACAATGTTCGACCGCAATAAGTATTGGGTACTATGTCTCCATAACCTGGAATCGATTTTAATGATAGGTTCATCGAGCATTATCAAGAATGAAGGTTGAGAGAATCATTACAGAGGACAACACACGGTCACACAACTACATTCCAATCAGAACTCAAATATTTCAAAACTGCACACCAAATCACCTCATTCGATTCAGAACGCCTTGAAACTAGGCTTCAAGGTTTAAAGAAAAACTGCTGACTACTCCGGCTCTGCATTTGATGATGAAAGTTGAATTCAGTGTCGCCGCAATGCACTGCTCCGATTCATTCCATGACGAATGCGGCTATCAAGCGAGTTGTCACAGCGATTAGACACACAAACAATCACACGAACGATAATTTGATTCAGTCATGCAATCTTTAAAGCTCTTTCGAAATAGCTTATTATCAGCATCAGTTCACTGTCAGAGGGCTCGAAAAATCTACGATTAACAACGGAAACATGCAAAAAACACATCACTGATTGTCAATAGACTCACCAATTGACATGAATGTAACCTGGATTATAGAAATGAATGATTAGAAAATTTGGTAAAATCATCACTTTCATTGATTCTCCATCACCGCCGTCATTATTGCCGATTAATACTGACTATAGTACAATTCTCATGAATTTCATCGCAGAGGATTCAGATGAAAACAAATTAGCTCTAATAAATCGCTTTTGAAAATCAAAACGTTACTTGTGAAAACCTCCGTTTTAACAAAATTATTTGAGATAATCAGTCACAGAAAACGATAATAAAGCTAAGCAAATTTCGAAACGAAGAGTTCAACTGACCATGATGAACCACATCGAATTTAGATAATAGTGTTCAGCAGGGACACGTCCATCGTAGCTGAAATACGCGATCAATGTACTATATTCNGCTGCATCCTTCAATGGTGTTTGTGATCACATGCTGCTTAATGTGTTGCGTTTCGTTACGCAAAGTGCTCAGGACAGCGAGTATTCATGGTTGCTTGAATGTGGAATGGTTAATATGAGTATGACGATAGCTACAGATCTATTTGGTGACATAAAACGATCATCGATAGGCATGTGTTATAAGAGATTGACACGTTCGAACCTGGAATTGCTTGCTGTGCAAAACCATGAATCTACACAGCAAATATGAGCGCAGAAACATCGGTACGGATAGTACCACATCCAGTGGAACATCAACCATTGTAACTTTCTGATTTTCCGGATGTATGAATGGCCAACTCATAGTACCGGTACCTGGAATATGATCGCACAAAAGTTTAACATCGCATAAAATCATTGTTGCATTATAGCTGAACACCTAAGTATTACATACATCTCATTGACTCATCATATTAATTCCAGTGTTATGACTGAAAATTTACGATGAGGCACAGTAATCATTTCGGAAATTAATTTCATACAGTCATGAAAAAGTGACACATTCGCAGGTGAATAATCAATGACAAATGTTTTTTTTTTCATCGGACTTTCAAAAAATCACCTGGAAGTGGGCATATTGCACAAACGAATAGTTCGATTGCGAGTTTGATAATTCGCTCGGTTGTGAGTGCGACTCTCCAATCGTCTGCACCACTATCTATTAACGCTATTTTCACCTGGAAATGAACTGTGGTCAGTTCAAAATTAGTCTTATTCAAACGGATCATATTTACCAAAATGGACGAAACATCCTCCAGAAACGTGCAAATAGCCATGGAGCAAAATGACACGAGAACTTTCAACTCATATTTATGAAAGCTATCCTTCCGCTTGAATTCCGCACCCTCAATCCCTTGAAATAACGTCATGAAGGCAACAATTCCTTTAAAGCTGCCACAAACTAAATGTGCCAAGATGCTACTATAAACTCAAATTCTCTCCCAATGGAATTCTAAGGAAAGGTTTCCGCAGAAGCCGTGAACATTTATAGTTTGTCGGTTCAGCTGGCATAAAACGATCGTACAACTTACTTCAATCGCATGGTAGTTCACCAAACTTGCCATTAGAGCTATCGTACTGATCACACACAATGAACGCAATAATATAGACATTGGATGTCGCTGAAAATTTCTCTTTCATCATTCATATTACTGCACTATAAGTTACTCACAGAACAGTTGTATCTCCAAGCAATTCATTTAGCTCTAAGCGCTGAATACCTGTCGGTGAGAATCGACTAAATCATTCAGGTGCACATTTAACAAATAATAATGACACCATATAATGACACCTATAGATGATAATCAGTAGTACCTTTGAAACACTGGTATCATCGGATAACGCCGTTACTTCTGCATCGATAACAACCAGGATCAATCCAACTAGAGCCAATGCCAACGATAAATCGCACACTTTATTTCGTTTAACAAAAAGTTGCTTTCTCATACGACAGCGCATTTTCGCTGTACTATCACTGCAAATAATGCTTTGTTTCCATGATCAACTCACACAATTCATACTAAATAAGAATTCATCATGCGAAGCAATTAAGTACTCAAAAAATCTATCAGCCAATAATTTTTAGTGCTTCATATTGCACTATAAACAATCAGTTATAAGTGGTGCTTAATTTTTCCTTATTGGTCACTCCTGACAGTGTTGCTTATGAGAGTTAATAGCAGCCCCACACTCCGAACGCTTGCAATCTAGGACATGTCATAAGCCATTCAAATTAACTCATTTGTGAAAATTGAGCTTGATGAGTACACCATCCAATATCAACGTAATTGGCCTCTTTTGATTCGTTGACGTTGACTTCTGATCAGCTAAATGATTGCTGTTCAAACAAGTACACTACAGTGTAACTGACCTAGTGATCGCAATACCGTATCCACTTTGTCGTCTCCTTATAACACGAACCGTTGCACTCGATTTCCGTTTTGTTTCGGTATCTACACTCGGATCGAATCGGATGCCTCCATTACACTTTTCATCTTAAAGTCGCGATTTTAGTCGGATCTTCCGGAAAATCTGATCAGAAAAAAAAGAATAGAAAATGTGACTTGTAAAACAGTTCATCGAAGTGATGAACATGTTCATCGGATATACGAGTCATCACATGAACTAAGTACAAATTGCGAATCCTGATCATATATAGCAACAGCGAAAACACCAACAATTCTGCACTGCACCATCTGATTTCTTATAAAATTGAGTCTTGATATTCTCTCANTTGTGGAAATCATAACAAAGTAAACGGAGAGTTTGAATAATTATATCCCAACTGAAAGGTTTTCTTGAACACCTTCAACTGCAATACAAAAACATGGCCTTCCGTCGCAAAACAGTTGAGCTAATCGCAATCCCTATGTCAACAAACATACAAATGTTAATTTCGATGATGATGAGTCAAGATGGTGACCAAGTACAATACACACACCAAAACTGTGATATTCGTGTTCTGATAATCATCAGTGTTATCAAATAATCGAAACAGTTAATACTGTGCTTTTGACATTCAATAATGAGTTGAACAACAACAATAAAACTGATACGATTAGAAAATAACTTAACTGACATTGTTTTGAACTCATGAGTTAATGGGAAAAACATCAACATTAATCAACTGAAAAGCAATAGATAGCATACTGTGAAACAATTTATTACATTATGAATTATAAACAATATAATTCGAATTCGTTTGGATTTGCTATTCAGTCGACTTGTTAATATTATTATGTAATACGAGCATCGTGGGCAAATCGTCTTAATTACATGTGCATTCCATCTAATTCACTTTATCCAATTTGTTGGCTACTTTCACAATCTATGCTCTTCGTAAATCTTGACTAAGTCAACATTTTTTCTCTCAAACAACCACAAAATCTTGTTAGTTTATTAGCATCAGAGCTAATTGAATTTATCACCTGTCGCCGCGAAATAAGCACTACTATTAGGCAATTTCTTGAAGTGCAATGAAGCCGGTAAGTCAGTACGATGTGCTTCTCTCGTGATTATCACGAAATGTTATAATGTGATTAAGGGAGGACAGACTGTACACTCAATGACGCAATGACACGAATATAACCGTGTGAGAAGATTTGAACACTTGATCGAATTGGAGAGCATGACGTTGTTATTTTGTCATTTTATTTGGTCATTTCAAATGTGAAAATACCGTTTTTACGATCGAAGTGTGAAATGCGAGAAAAANAACGCTACACGATACGAAGACAAACGAACGTACTGTTCACAGCATTCCATTCAAATAGCATTCGATATCAGAGTGCATCCAATGGAACTCAATAAAATGTAGCGTTTCAATCATGTACTATTGAATGGAAAACAGGATACAGACAGATTCAATCAGATTTCCGACTACATACGACTAACAGCGCTATCACCACTATTACTCTTCTTGTCCTCATTAATGTGTTTGGTTTTAGTACTGTTACTGTTAGTTTTATTGCTGTTACCATCAGAGACATTATCGCTATATATGATACTATTTGAATTTGACACGGAACCCATCAGAAGATACGATATGATTATCCATCAAAACCGCCGTCATCATTGCAGATTTGTCAACAGTGCTGTTCAAAACTCTTATGCAGCTTTTAATTCTCTTGAAACTATCGGGCATTATTGACTGATAAGGATATTGGCTGCGATAGAGTTGTGAAAGGTTCAGAAATCAAAACGATAAAATATGATTCGATAATTGAAGTTGATGAATAAGCGAATGAAACGAAATAGTGTTTCTGAAAGTAATTAGGAGTTGATGCTTCCGAAGGTACGTTCGCATGTTGTGTTGCATGACCAGTCAGCTTCTTAAGCATGCCAACAATTAATCACAGTCTCTCAACGGTTTTCCATGTTCGTAATGTAACTTATGTACACTTAAAACGATGTTGAATCTTGAACGGAAATCAATCAAATTCAATGACTGTTTCCTTTGCAAATCGATTCCCAGAATACAAATCAATATGTTTCGGTTGAACTGCCATTTATAATGATAAAAGAGAAATAAAAATTGGTACAGGAATTGGATGACAATCTGACATATGAAGTCAGTCAGGAATACAAATATGAATACTTATGAAATGTAACGATATGTCCGAGATTAGCACTAATTTTAGCACTGCATTGTTGACATTCAAAACTGCAATATATTTAGAGTCTACGTTTTCTAAACGAGAATTTCATTTGATACACACAAAAGAAAGAGAAGAAACTAGTGAGTCGTCTTTTCATTAAGCAAATGAACTCTTCAAAACAATCATCGATTCGAAAAAGAAACGAGTATGATTGATGGCGATACCGTATTCCATAACTACGCCAATTCATCAGATTAGAACAGATTAAACAAAAACGCTTCTCAGCAAATAATCGCATGAATTGAAGCCTAATTGGTTACGGATGAACTGAAGCAAATGAAAATTTTCTGAACTGTTTGTAACGCGTCCGTTTAACAGATTCGAAAGCATGAATGAACGAAATCGCATCGAAAGACGTGCTTCTACCTGACAATGAGCAAAGTTTTTTCTGATATTCTTCCACTTCAATATGCTAAACTGCATTTGTGCATAACAAAGCTGAATGAGAACAACACACACGAAAAAAATTGAACTGATTGCAATATCCGTCTATCTTCTCCGAATCTGCTCAGATTTATACGGACTGTAATTCTGAATGAACATTTGAAATTCACGCAAAATGTGTTGTTCAATTTCAGATAAAACTGTTGCCGAAAATCTTTTCAGTTTGTGGGCACAGATTAACAAAATAACTCGTTCATCAATCCGTCCATATCAGAACATTCCACCAAATTTTGCAGGAAAATATTTTGCTAAATACTTCGGCCATATTCGGTTCTTACATACGCACTATAACCTTGGATTACCTGGATTGGCCAGGCTATCAAACGTTCGTAACGCTGCTGACCACAATGCTCGCGTTTCCGTCTGTGCACATTGTTTTAGCCTCAATTTACGCCACCCCGCTGGCTAGGCGAGCAGGCCAGCGGGGTGGCGTAAATTGATGCTGAAACACTAACTCATTCATGAAAACTTTTAATGCATTTCGATTTAACATCGAGTTTTCAGCTCCGTTCAACTTTCGGATTATTTTTGTTGTGATTCCGGAGTAATAAACTAAATTCACTATGATCAGTCCATGAATGTGATGAATCCACTGCAGATTTCAGGCAAAAATCTTTTTTTCCGATAGGATTTCAATCTAGAGAAGTTCTTTACAGTACGGAAACCACAAATCTGTATCAAGATGCATTATGGAAATTAAAATTCAGATTGAATACGTGGTTGCGAGAGGGAAAAAAGTGTGAAATTCTTAGCACGATTGCCGCTAATGCTTGCTCAAATCGGTTATCAAATCCGATCTTATATCTGTATCGGCTACGAATCCGATTACGATTCGACTACATTCGATGCAAAATCTAAAATTCATTTGCATAATACATAAACATGAAACCGTATAGCTCATGAGCTGCACAAGGCGCACGTGCACAGGTGAAATGATGACAAACCTAACGAGTAATCATGAACAGACGCGAGCATTCTCTGAGGGTGAATTGATTACAGTGCAGTGTGAATTAATGCGACTCAATTAATGGACATTTTTTGTTGAGAATCCATGAAGAAGTTTTTCCTGATTTGTTAAACAGAAAACTGCGACAATGTGCTAATGTACCCAAAACATCTGCATTTTAGCAAATGAATTCGGTTATTCCGAGCGTCTTTCACAAGAAACACTTCATTCAGTGATCATCAGCTCATGATTGAATGATTCTGCTGGATGATTCGGTAATTGCTCCAAAAGTTACTTCAGCTCTCAAACAGCAAATATACATAAGTTAAATACTTATTTCAAGAGTATTGGAATATCATTTAGGGTTTTTTCGATTTCAACAAAAAACAGTTATATAATGTGGATAAATGCAGCAAAATATATCAATGATCAAATGGGTTGATGAACGCAGCAAAACTATTGTGCGTGCGTAACAAATGAAATGAACCTGTAGGTGTTAGATTGAATGAGAAATCGCTCGATTTAGTGCTTGTGTCATAGCGATCACACGATCGCCATTTAACGCAATACGCACTTCTTTTGGCCCTCAACAAGGAACTGGTGGTCGATGATGAACTGTAACTACAATCAGGCAACACCGGCGATTTATTCATGCAAGTGCCAACACTGTAACGTCGATAACCATTCGCTGAATAAGATCGAGAATCGACGACATGTGGAAAGTGATTATTGTTGAGATAAGAATACTGCTTCATAGCGATTTGGTGAGACGGAGAGGCGCTCATATGCGATTTGGTGGGACGCAGAGGCGGTATAAAGTGACGGGTAATATGACTGTTCCATGTTGGTGTGGCTGCTACTGTAGATAGAAGGGGTTTTGAGAATGAATAGTGGGTGGCGTTGGATTCGGTGTGAACAACCAACGGTTGTGTTTCTTCGAGCTGTGTTGACGTTACCATCGCAGAGCAGTCGTCCGTTCGAAGTAATCTCCTTGTTTTAGACATCCAACGACTAATAAGACCCTCTTGGTTGGGTCTTTCCACTTGTTCTTAAACTGCTGACTTATCACATTCAACGCTCAGCATTGATAGCACCTGATCAGCAAATAGATCATATCGTCGTTGTACACTAGTGATACTTACAAATACAATAATGAGTGTTTACCGTAACAACAGCTCAGCAGCAGTAAATGGACGTGTGAGGAATGCACTGATCGAGTAGATAATGGAATATAAGTGGATGTTAATGAAGCACGGTTCAGGTACAATTCAGTAGTAATTATTGTAAGTCGTTGTAAAAAACTACTCACAGACAAGCGGTACTAATGAGCAAAGTAAGGTGTACCTCGACAAGGAATGTGCGGTGCAAATGACAAATTGTGATCGTTTCTTTCATCAGTATCATAATCACAGTGAATAAAGGAGAATAGATGCAAAGGTGGGATTAGACTGGATTCAACTAGAGCAGAGAGAGGAATTCATAGAGGGATGGATAAGGATGGATGGACGATGGATAAGTGCATGTTGCAGTGTATAAAAGGGAACGGAATATAGAGTGAGTGGTAACACGATAGAATATATGGATTTAGGTTCTGTTAGTGTGAACTAAACAAGCTATGCAACGACGACCACTGAATATGAAGGAGTGATTAATGAACACCTGAACAGNGAAGGAAGCAGATGAAAAATTACGGAGTTACGGTGAGGCAGCAGAATCAGTGTAGTTGTGATGAGCGTTCATAAAAGTACACAATCAGGTGAGATTGCTGCGAGTCTGTGATAAGCAAAGATTTCTCGAGCATGCCAGCCTGTGAACTCATCATTCGTCAACTGTTGTCGTACCTGATGATGGGTGTTACGGATTCGAATCAGTTGCGCACTGCTTTACGTGTTTGTCGTAAACAGTTAACGTGTTTGTCATAATATGAACTTGAGATTTCAAGCAATTAACATTCACCAAGAACAAGTACACAGGCTATCGGAAATGGGAGTGAGAGAATGTAAGAAGAATGTACAGAATATGGAGTGGAATAGAACAAAGCTAACGTGCACCAGTAATTAGTAAGCCAACGCTGGCTGGATAAAGGGATATGGATTATGAACATTGTGACGATGCGAGGGATAATGGAAAAGAATGATACCTATAAACTGCTCGTAAGAGTGACGGTTGATTTGTTTCGTGAATTGATGAATATTCACACAATTCCCTTGGTTACCAACACTTTCAGTTAGTTTTATTATGTTATACGTATTCGATAGGAAATACCGGTATCGATAATGTCACATACACACACATGCACACAGAAGAACATATGGGCATTCCATGATCCCATCATACACTAGAATCTTACATCATTTGTCTTATATGCTTCCAGTTCACGTCTGATGGCTTTGAATTTAGAGATTATCGTGGATATGTCGAATGTGTATGTGTTGCATTCGAGCTCCATTGCAACACTTTAACAATGTCAACAGCGCTCACTTACCACTGCACAGTTACCGTTGAAATCAGAGTGAATTTTAAAATGTGGCACGATTAGTTTCATTGATCTGCTGAAATCACAATAAAATATGATTCGATCCTTACTTTAACTTCACAAAGTTATGTGTCGCAAAGGTTTGTCTGTCGCAATGGAACTCACTACTACCCTGAAAAATTTTTTTCGAAAAGTTGATGTCAATGCTCAAATAAATTTTTAATGAATCGATTGCATTTTCATTTCTATAAGAACATTCAGCTTGCCATAATAATGATATTCAGTTTTAAAGAACTTTTTTTGCACAGCAAACAGGTGATCAGTTTTGAACAAATGTTAATAATTCAGTGCTCCTGAACATTCAGTATTCAAACCGAATCGAAGATGAGGACATGAGTTTAAAGGGATCACAGTTCGAAAAGCACTCATCTACGCTTCAATGAAAATGTGGATGGGGTATGCATTCGGTCATGTGAGTTCAAGATAACAAGAAAAATTGAAGAACAGT